GCATTTTGTTAACTTGCTAAACTTATTATAAAGCTGTCCACCTACAAATCACCTACAAACCACTGAGTATTTACCCATGTAATATAGCTGTAGTATTATTATTATTATCTTTATTCCCTCCTCTTATTGGTATTATTATGATAATAATGATTATTCTTTGCATCTTCTGAGATCTTCTGCACCGGAGACAAATTTCTTATGTGTCTAATCACACTTGGCCAAATAGTGTGTGTGCATGTGTGTATTCATTCATTCATTCATTCATTCATTCATTCATTCATTCATTCATGCTTAGAGTCACTTGGGTAGGTGGCACAAATAAATAAATAAAAGTTTACAAATATCACATCAAAAGGCAACTTGTAACTAATCTGAATGGCCTCAGTATTTTAAAATTATCTTCTTTTGGAATTTCAGAACAAAACAAAAAAAAAATTTCTCAGGATTGCTACATACCATACTGTGTAGTTTGCAGCATTAAGTTCAATGGCATCGCCTGTTAACTTGAAAGCTCTTTCACTCCTTTCATCATGTTGCAAAACGGCCCGGAAGTAATCATATACATCTTTAACTAGGCAGAAAAAATTAGTTTATCAAATCTGTCTTTGGCTTTCTTTGCCACATTTACTCTTACTTTCTCAGGTATAAAACTGTTTTTTCATCATGCCCCATATTTAGCCTAAATTACTGGTGTCCTTAATTTTACAGCTCTTTGTATCTTTTCCCTATATCCTCTCTTTTAATATTTCCCACTAAGACTCCTGGCTCTCACCTTCATTTTCTTATATCTTCAAAATCCACCATCTCAAAATCATCCTCTTATTGCCTATTCACTTCTATCCCAGACAACTGACAAATCAGATACTCTTACTTGCAAATATAGATATCCCCTTGTGTTATGTTAGGATTCTGTTTTCTGAAAACCTCATATAAAGCATACAAACTGAGACACTGAAAAAAAAGGTGAGGTGTCAAAATTGTACCCCGAATATATTGACAAATGTGCTCATAAATTTTTAGAGTCCTATTCTTATGCATTGTGTTATTCAAGCATGTTTTTATCCTTGTTTCCTAGTCTATGTAAAATAAAAACATTTTCTCCACCTCTTCTACGGATGTAGTTCTAATGTGTGTGGTTATCATGGCAGACAAATAGTGGAATGCATTACAGCACCATGTACTTCATTTTCATTCTTTCTTATGTTGCACACAGATGTGCTCATATTAAGTTTGTCCTAGGGCAAAGGATCCTTTACCAACTTTGGTGCAATATATCCAGCTTTGTTTCTAGTGTTAAAAAGGTCCTTTTCCTATTGGATAAGAAGCTTGGATGAGATTTTGATAGACATTTTGATACCACAATAATAGCAACTGCAGGTACAGAAACAAGTGGAACACACAACTACACAACACATTGGTAAATGCAAAAGTGAGGGCATCAGGGTCTTGGTGGGAAAATGTTCAAGTGGTTTTGGGAGGGGAAAAAATCTTGGTATGTTTCCAGACATTTGGCACCAATTGCATACTGTAGTAACTTTTGTTTTTCCACTTAAAGTGAATTCTAGGTCAAAAATTACTACTCACATAAATTTCCATAAAGCATTAGAATCTTGTAGTCTATTGATGCTTTTGAGTAACACATAGTACATTTCATCAATATAATTGTTTCCTGATGCAATAATCTGCTTCTGTTGATTTCTTTGCACTTAACAATTGACTGGTGGAAAAACAACCTACCTTTCAGAACTGAGTTTTAAAGTATGACATTCATAGTTCTGGGATTATTTAATAAGTAGAATAACTTTTAATTAACTTCAACCTCATGTAATAGCTTATAATAAGCACAGTTCTAATCTTAGTTTCTTTCATGTCTTGATGTTTTAATCATCTGTTTCATCTTTGAATTCCAATGAAAAACATGCTGCAGAATTCCAGATACTAATGGACCATTATGGAATCCTATAAGGATTTATTCCAAAGACAATCTCAGAGTGTTCAGCTGAACTTACTCCCACACTTGCCTGCAAACATTTGTAATTTTAATTTACACTGCTCAGTAATGGGTCAGCCAGTACAATTCCATTGTAGCCAGACTACAATGGAGTACCAGTGAGAAAATCCAAAAACCAGCAGAGAAGATAACCTTAGATGGTCCATTTATTCCCTACTATTGAGAAGAAGTCTCTTAAGCTTCTTCTAAACTTACATTTTTCACTATATATGATCTGAACAACAGGATGTGGCCCATCATCTTGAGGAACCGGGTCAATATCTGCCCATTCTTTCCTGTTTCTGTAAAAAAAACAAACCCAATCAGTCATCTGGTAGCAAATGCAAGAACATTTGAAGGAAATATATAGTTCAAGGATATCTCCTAAATATCAAAGACTTGTTCATGTATGTTGTAGTACAGAATAGTGCCTTGCTGAGAATTATACTTGCAACTGAGAAAGAAGAATTTGATATGTTTTAAGCATTCCTATTACTATGCTTTCTATAAACCTGTACAAATACAACATCACAAGGAGTCCTACCTGCAGAAACATAGGAAACATGTCTTTTCCCCAACTAGGTACCTTGCTGATATGTTGGATTAAACAAAGGCGGCACTCTGGGACTTGTAGTCTAATACATTTGAAGAATATCAAGTTGCAGGAGGCTGGATAACAATAAAAAATCAACCCTATAAATTTGATGCAATATATATAAAAAAATGACAGTGTGACAAGCACTGACATAGCACTGTGACTTGTTATTGTTTATCCAATTTGTCATCTAAGTGACTCTGGGGACTCACAACAAGTACAGTCCAATAATAAGTTAAAAACCATTATACAAGCATGTAAAAACTATCCAGAATCAATTTAAACAACAATTATCAGTTGCGACTGAGAATCTCCATAGACCATCTCTTCCACTGAAAGTTAAATCAGCTTAACCGAGTTCAGTGGGAAGCGGCTTCTAAACCGACGGCTCCACCGAGGTCGAGGAGAGCCCTTCCCTACCTGTACAGCACGTAGCCAGTGGAGTCCAAGGGTTCGCCGCACTCCAGCAGCTCTCCGTCTCCCGCGGCGTCGGCTTCCGTCCCCAACCGAAGGGTGCAAACCTCCGGGCTTCCTCTGTCTTCCTCGTCCGCCATCACCGTCAACGCCTCCGCCCACCCCGGAAGAAACAACACCTGGAGGAGCCTATGAGAAACAAAACGGCCATCCCTCCCGCACCATAGAGTTGCAGCCGGCTGTACGGCGGAAGTGGGTCTGATCTCACGCGGACGCGCTTTTTGCTCCCAGCCGGTTCCGATGTTGCAAGGCTGGGCGTCCGCTCTGCGCTTAGATTTAGCATCGAAGGAGACTTCCCGGTGCCTTCTGTTGGCATTTCTCCCTACTACGTGCTAATCTAATCTACCGGGCGAGATGTTCTCGACATAGAACAGCACAAATCGCAGTTACTTGTTTCTGCTTGTTTCTCCGTAAAATCTTGGTTATATCTCGACCCCGTTGGTTAAACGCAACTTGTTCGCAAATGAGTGCATCGCCCAACTATTGCGGTATCGTGTTTATACGGAGCGATTGCGCAGTTAATCTTCGCAGTAAATGCAGGTTGAATCCCTAAAGAAAAATCGTTTGGGGCGGGAGGGATGGGGGGGAAACATGCACATTCATTTATGCATGTTCATTATTCATTTTCATCACTGCCTTCTGTCAAAGAAAAGCCACCTAAACGGCTCGTTCCATTGTATTTTCCATGCACGCGTCTGATTGTAAGAACGCAAAGGTTGTAACGCTGATATTTGGGAGTAAAAATATTTTCCATTTGGAAGGTGTGACATTTGCATGCTGTTTGTTCCCAAATTTTCTTCTGGGAAAAATAGTTCTGGGCCGCCTTGGACTCTTCAAGAAGATGCCTGAGATAAAAGCGCTATCCTAGCACACAAAAAACTGAAGCCACCTAAGTGTTGCCTTCATTGCTGGTCCCAGATTCTGCAAAACGATTGGGCTGGCAAAGTGACAGATGGCCTCTCCTAGGGTTTTCATGTAGGTTATAAAAAGTAGAGAAAGAGAACAAATCCTAGTGCACTCCATAAGCAGGCCTTGAATATGTCTAGAAAGGCAAAAGGATACTTTAGTGCACTAGTGGGCTGCGAGAAAATTTTGGTGGTCCACAGAAACACAAGGCTGCGCCGCCCACATGGCCCGCAGGAACCCTCCCCACTCACTCACTGCTTACCCAGTAAACTTGCCCGCTATTTTTCTTTTTCCAACCATCAGGTGTTCTGCTGTGCCGGGAGATTTAGATTAGCTAGGAAGCAGGAAATGGTTGGATTTCTTGCTTTCTAGCTAGTCTTTAGATCTTCAGCTCTGCTTTTAAGCAGAGCCGAACCTCCCTTAGGACTGAAGTTTTATTATTCAGTGCAGACTTACGGCAAGCAAATTTTATGTGACAGACTGAGCTAGCCGATGGCTGATAGATCACTGAATGATTCTGTGAGCCATTCAATCTGCCTGCCTGCTTTGCTTGATTTTGGGTAAAAGTTGCTCTTTTTTTATAAAAAAATTCAAAATTTATATAAATATTTATAATATTTACATACAAGCCATGTCCAGCCAATCACATGACCACCAAGCCACACCCACAAATTAGGCCATGCCCACAGAACCAGTTAGTGGTCCCTGGGATTTAAAATTATGAGTTTGGTGGTCCCTGAGGTCCAAAAGGTTGGCGACCCCTGCTTTAGTGAAAGGCACAGAAGACCAGACAGTTCTAACGTGCCCGGGAGAGATGCACATTCCCATTCAGATGCCAACAAATCATCCCACAACACCATCCTGTGCCAATTCTATCTCATGCCTACATATGAAAGGTGGTTGCAAGGATTACACTTCATTCATTCTTTTAAAAATAATACCATTAACCTTTGCTTTGCCAAAGAAGTAACATAAAGCATAAAACTTAGCTTTGCTGCAGTGTTAACTTTTAAAAAGCATAACCTTTCTTTCTTTCCTTTATTTCAGTGTATGTTTTGCAGCTGAGTTGATACAGGTCACTAAAGTAGACAGTAACTAAACACTGAGTTAATGCAAGATACCAGGACACATGGGGAAATTCAGAAAACAGAAGGTCATCTTCTGTATGGAGAAATGGAGTAAAGAACAAAGAAAAGGGCTCAGATATGAAAGATAGTGGAGGAGGATAATTGGGTGCTTACATCTATAATTACATATCAAACCTTAGATACACAAATTTGTAACCTTTTAATTAGCTAATTAAAGAAACAACAGAACAAAACCCAGATTGTTTCTTAGTCTTTACATACCCTATTTAATCCAAGAACATGATAGTGTATAATCTGGATAGGTATGTAGTAGGGCCATGCCTAGTAGAATGTTTGTTTGACTAGGCAGTAATCTCACAGGAGAGGAGGGTATCAGTCCCCTCAGTAAAATGAAATTGGTAGTCCAGAGCCAGTAGAAACAAGACAATGCTGGATGGAAGAAGAGAATTGTATTAATAAAAGCGTTCACAATGAATTTCTTCTAGGGTTGAGGCATGCCAGAACAGTTGGAAAAGAAATTTCTGTTAGCACCTTCCTTTTAAAAGCATAAAGGGTTATATATATATTTTGTAATGTCAACTGTTAGAATACCATCTTGCAGTTCTGTAGCACTTTAGAATTTACAAAATGTTTCCTACACATTACTGTAGTAATCCTGTAATCCTTAACATCAGTACTAACATAAGATTGGCTCATATTTACATTACTTGTAAAAGGCCCAGAGAGAAAAAGAAAGAACATGAAAGTATATTACTAGAAAAGGTGGGGTGGGGGGGATCCCAAAATGGTGTCTCACTTATTTGGCTGTGTCATGCAGGGAAATTCAGTGGAAAAAGCAATTGTGTTGGGAAGAGCTAGCGGTAAAAGGAAACTAAGCTGCCAAAGAACATGATGGTTGGATACCATGAGAGCTGGCACCAACCACAGCACAGAAAAACAAAGAAGCAGTGCAAGAGAGGAAGATGTGGAGAGACGTGGCCCATGAAATCACCAAGAGTCAGATACGACTGAATGGATATCATTATCATGTTTGTAAGGGTTGAAATGACGAGTTCTATATTTCTGCTGAGAACATTATTCTTTTGAGCTCCACTTATTTTCATTGTCATTGATTTACATATTTGTCTCTGACTTACAGGCAGGATATGAAAATGGCTTAATTCCAGTTCATTTTAATTTATAAAAGTTTCATATATCATATTGCTCTAAAAGGGATTGCTTGGACATCTTAGAATAAAAATAATACATGAACGCAGAAAAACATTAAAGCCTTAATTTAAAAAAACAAGCAAACTTAATACAAGCAAAGCAAGTATAATTGGCCACATTAATAGAGTAGAACCCTAGCAGAATTTTATTTCTCCTGTCCATGTAAAATGAAAGAAATATCACAAAGCATTCATTTATTCATCTATTTTTATTCTAAGTGTACCGTGTCAAAGAGCACCACTTAGTCCACCATATCGAAGTGTCTTTTCATTGTTTAAAACTAGACAGCAGCTACAAAAACACATCTGATCAAGCTATCTCCTCTACTCAAAGCTAACAATCACATATAATTTCACATTTAGCATATACAGTACATGCAGACTGCACTTTTATTCAGGTTGAATTTATAACATTTTTCAAGCTCATTTTCTTAATGACTCATGCAGTCCAGTATGGTTTTAGCTTAGTTTCATGTTGTAACTAATATATGAATTGAAATTGTTATGTACCAGTTTCATCCTTTTTTGCTTTTTCCTGTGTCATATCCACAGTTTTACAAAATAAACAATGCAATTTTTCATGAACAAAAGCTGAAAATAAACTTTTATATATTTATTTATTGAATTTATATGCCACTCAACTTATGGTTCTATCATTAAAAAAGACTTATAATTAGCGATTCTTAACAGTACTCTATAAGATAAAGTTGTGCACGCTTCAAAATAATTTAGGAGATATGCTTCAGGCTAATGCAAGCTTAGCAACAGATTTCTGAAATTTAAAAAATAGGCTGCCTGAAGTCACAATAAATATGCTGTTGTAAATGGTGATTCATTAAAGAGCAGCATCTTTTATCAGATATAAAACAGTTTTAAAAGTATTATTAATATAAGAGAAGTATTGTGTCTGAATGAGGCCAGAGAGATACTAAATTATCATTTCTCAGAGAAATTCTGAGAAACATTCTGAGCATATTATCAATTAATTCAAGGAATAACTTTTGGCTTGGGCTTTAATAGAAGAAAAGTTAATAAAGAGGAAATAAATATATGATTTTAAAAAACAAAGATCAGAGTTGAGCAACCTGGTTTCAGGGCCATAAGTAACCGCCAAACCTCTCTTACTTTAGTTCTAGAGTCCCCTTCAGTATGGTTGACCACCATTTTTGATGTGGGATAGCAGGCAAATATGACAAAACAAGCCTAAGGGTGCCTTAGCAAGGTGAAGATATAGACCTCTTCCATTGAAATTCCTGCCAGTGAGAATTTTATCTAATTGCCAGGTTGATTTTTGCCTATCTAGGAAATCAACTTTATGTAATTAGTTTGTTAGATGTGTAATCCATTATTTGGTTTGGGAGATCAAGGTGGCGCCCCCTCATGGCTCCTACTTTGTCCATAACCACAACCCTATGTAGTAGGGTAGGCAGACAGAGAGAGTGGCTGAATATGGACTACAACTTGGCTTTCCTCTCCCTCTTGACTTCTATGCACCACGGGCTTTAATCCTCCTACAAGTTTCTCCACACTGGTCTACAATTGTAGCTAAAAGGGGAGACTATAAAGCAAAACATGGAAGAGAATTAATGTTATGTGAAGGAGGAGAGTGCAAAAGTTGACTTGAAACTCAACATTAAGATTATGGCATCCAGCCCTCTTAATTCCTGGCAAAGAAATGGGGAAGAAATGGAGGTAGTGACAGATTTTATTTTCCTGGGCTCCAAGATCTCCACAGATGGGGACTGCAGCCAAGAAATTAAAGGATGCTTGCTCCTGGGGTGGAAAGCTATGGCAAATCTAGACAGCATACTAAAAAGCAGAGACATCACCCTGCCAACAAAAGTGTATATAGTCAAGGCTATGGTTTTCCCAGTTGCAATTTATGGTTGTGAAAGTTGGACCATAAGGAAGGTTGAGCGCCAAAGAATTGAGGCTTTTGAACTATGGTGCTGGAGAAGACTCCTGCGAGTCCCTTGGACAGCAAAGCGATCAAACCGGTCAGTCCTAGAGGACATCAACCCTGGCTGCTCTTTAGAAGGCCAGATCCTGAAGATAAAACTCAAATACTTTGGCCACCTAATGAGAAGGAAGGACTCACTGGAGAAGAGCCTAATGCTGGGAACAATTGAGGGCAAAAGACGAAGCGGATGGCAGAGATGGTTGGATGGAATCACTGAAGCAGTCAGAGTGAGCTTAAATAGACTCCAGGTTATGGTAGAGTACAGGAAGGCCTGGAGGAACGTTGTCCATGGGGTCGTGATGGGTCAGACACAACTTCACGATTAACAACATTCCTGTCTTCACCTCCGAAATATTGGGTGAAATGTAATGGAGGGGTTCTTATTCTTATTCTTTATGTCTGATCTGACCATTAAATGGCAGCAACCAGCTGAGAGTAGGATGTATCATTTCTGCTGACATCTTGGGGTCATAAGGAGTTTTGCAGTCAGACACAGTAGCTCTAAGTAAGTTATCACCAGCGACAGGCAATTATTTCTAATAGAAAAAACAACCTTTTATAACGTGATCTACACAAATAATTCGCCTTAAGCTTCCTTTTTTTTTTTTTGGACGACTTTCAGGCTGTGTCTGACGCAGCTCTCAGACTGCTGCATTATGCTAAAGCGAGTTGGCAAGCGCTCTGCAAACAGCTATGGAAACCGCGATGACTATTTTGGTTTTTTTTCAAAATGCGCTCCCAAAACGAGAAACGTGAAACCTTCCTCTAGAAACCGGATAAATTAGCTGCCGAATTTTTTATCCCGAGCTCTTCCCTCCCCCCCTCCCCCATTTTGACGGAGATCCTTTTTCGGTGGGTGTCTCCATTGAAACGATGCCACGATGAGCTTCATCAGACCAACTTTCCTTCACACGAACCCGGGAACGTCCTGTTTTGCAAAGTGGGATTCGGGGAACTCTGGAAGGTGGATCCCCGGGATCTGCTTCTCCCAGACCCAGATGATCCTCCGTAGGGAGGTTGTTGGGAGAGGAGAGCCGCGATCCGCTGCAGGCTTTACGGTCAACCTAAAGGAAGTATAGGTACAAATTGAAAGTTAAAAAAAAGCGCCTCGCAACAACCGGGAAGAAGAACGGAGACTTGGGTGAGTGTTTTTATTTCCTATATGGGAAAGCATTGCGATAGTTTTCCTGTTGGTTTTGCACGGCAGGAAAAGGCCCCTGTAGATCTTTAAAAAGAGAGGCTGTCCTTATTCGGTTTACTTTTGGTCTACAGTTCTGCGACGCGATGAGGCGTTTACAGTTGGAAAGGAACAAACAAACGAGCCAAAAGATTGCAAACAAAAGAGGAAAAATGTAACGTTAACTCTTCCAAACGAAAAATACCAATTTAACGTTGCAGCTCCGCCTCTCACATAAGGGAGAAAGGAAAAACTTGGGGCCTATTTTAGCACAAGCGGCTTCAATGATTTCCCCCTTTCTTTTAATTTCTAAACTCTTGTTTATCTCCCTATATAGTAAAAACTTTTACAATAGCATGCACTTTAAAACGTCTGTCTGTTCTAAGCTTTTGTTTTAATGCTTTTTCAGTATTATTGAAAGACAGAAGCAGAGGCGGCTTTTTTTTTTTTTTTTTAGAAAGGCAAAGTTGTTTCTGGAAGTTGTTTCTGTTTTCTATTCAGACCAATCCTTCCTTCACCTTTCAAGGAAAAACCTTACAAACCTTGATAAAAGGGTAGTGCTAATATTACCCTTTAACACTTCTGGGAGAGAGATTCGATAATTGTCTTGTTTCACTTCCATTAGGCCATAGAAATTTCATGTGTGTTCTTTGCTTTAAAAAAGCAAATTATAGATGCCTCAGATCAGTTCCTACAATTATACAAATTTTGTAATGCAAATGAATGTGAACTTGCATATGTTTATTATGTAGCATTATTGTTTCTATAGAACAAAGCATATTGCTTCTGTTCACCACCTCAAAGATTTACAATAATTATTTTCTGCAGAAAGACAAAATTTCTTAGCTATATTCCATGTGTGAAATCTTATTCTATCCTATTTTATATGTTCATTAAATGTAGGAGTATCCAGTTTCCTTTTGGTATAATGTGACCTTATTCACTGTGTTGCTGTTTCCAAGGTCTCCTACTACAGATAGTCCTTGACTTACAACCATTTCATTTAGTGACTGTTCAAAGTCACAATGACACTGAAAAAAAGTGATTTATGACCAGTTTTCACATAGCTGTTGCAGCATCCCCATGGTCACGTGATCCAAATTCAGTTGCTTGACAACTGGCTCATATTTATGATGGTTGCAGTGTCCTTGGGTCATGTGATCACCTTATGACAAATCAAGGCAATGGGGGAGCTAGATTAACTTAACAACCATGGCACAAACTTAACAACTTCAGTGATTCACTTATCAAATGTGGCAAGAAAAGTCCTCAAATGGGGCAAAACTCACCTAACAACGTTATTTTGCTTAAAACAGAAATGTTAGGCTCAATTGTAGGACTGCCTATATATGTTGAATCAAAACTCCAATCATATAGAGCCAGCAAAATCCATAACATCTTTGTTAGAGATGAATGGAAATATAATGTAGAACAGTTTTTCTCAATTGGCAGCCCAATAGTATTGTACTGGTAAATTCCTTCAAATTAAATTAAATTTTAAATTATTGCAATCTCACAGGCTTGTCCTCCTAATATTCTAGAAATTTGGCAGTCTCAAAAGTTGTGGGCCTTAAAATAAATAATTTGTATTTAATATTGGGGTCCAGTGGATTCTGTCTGGAGAGGGACACGTGTGCTGTAGTATCCACACACTCAGTGTTGCTAACTCTTGGTTTATGTGGGCCTCAAAAGTTTTTGATAGGGGTGTGATCAGCCACATACATCAGGAAGACTGGGAACTGCTTCCTAGCACATATGCCAAGAAGAATGTGCTTCTGAACTGTATCTTTTCATTTGTCAGGTGCATTCATTTTAAGGAATCCTTGACTGAGGAAACTACAGTAATACAGGATCAAGGATGGACTCAGGTTTGATGGCACTTCTTCTCCCGCCAGTGATGACAATGGAGAAGAACAAGGATTTCTAGGGAAAACACAGGTGGACCACTTATTGGGCATGTTAAAGATTCCTGAGGCCCCAAACACATTGTGTGCCTGATCGTAAGGCATGAAAAGAATTAAGAAGAAAAGATTTTGGGCATCTTGCTTCTGCTTTATGGCTTTCTTTTTTCTCCTGACCACTTTCCAGGTACCAAAGATACTTGGAATGGGATGGGAATATGCAGGGGTGGGCTTCAAAAATTTTAGCAACAGGTTCTCTGCCCAGTTGCTGAGTGGGCATGGCCGTGGTGGGTGTGGCCTAATTGGCCTCCTGCACCATGGCGGGGGGGCATTTTTGCCCTCCCGGGGCTCTGGAAGCTTTCCTTGAGCCTCTGGGAGGGTGAAAATAGCCTCCCCAGGCTCTGGAAGCTGGAAACGGACTCATTTCCAGCCTTCCCAAACTTCCAGAAGGCCGTTTTTCACCCTCCCCGAGCCTCCACGTGTGCCCTGCACTTACCTGAATCCAAAACGGGCCACATGGGGACTCCTAGGAGGGGAGGGGCAGGGTGGGCGGAGCCAGACAGGAGTGGGATTTGAGGGTTCTCCGAACTGCACAGAATCTTAGTTAGGGGCTCTCCTGAAGCCCTGTGAACCCCCCGAAGCCCACCCCAGGAATATGTTCAGAAATACCCCAACGAGAGAAAGGAATAGCTATGTAATGTAAACTTTTAGGAGAGAGAATGGGGACACTGCTATATCAACTTTGGAGTTCAGCCTGGTAGTAGGGGTTTAATTATATGCTCAATGCTTCCAAATCTCTGCTCTTTTCTACTGCTGGGTTTTCACCAATAGATAATGCAGGTGCTCTTTGATTTGTAACCATTTATTTAGTAACTGTTTGAAAGCACTGAAAAAAGTGACCTATGACCGTTTTTCACACTTACGACAGTTGCACTGTCCCGGGGTTCAACCTTCTGACAAGCAAAGTCAATGGGAAGCCAGATTCACTTAACAACCGTGTTACTAACTTAACAACTGCAACGATCTGCCTAACAACGGTGGCAAGAAGGGTTGTAAAACAGTGCAAAATTCACTTAACAGCTGCCTCGCTTAGCAACAGAAATGTTGGGCTCAATTATGGTCGTAAGTTGAAGAATACCTGTTGAGCGGGGCAAGCTATAAAAACTATAAAACACTGTTTGCAGAGCAAACAGTAGAAAAAAAAATACAGGGCAAATCATTTTCCTTGAGTTAAAAAAACATCCTCATTCTCATTATTCTGGTGCTGCTATCATGAGTTATTCTAATGCAGTGGTTCTCAACCTGTGGGTCACGACCCCTTTGGGGGTCGAATGACCCTTTACCAGGGGTCGCCTAAGACCATCGGAAAACACCTATTTTCGATGGTCTTAGGAACTGAGCCATAATTTTATGGTTGGGTCACCACAACATGAGGAACTGTATTAAAGGGTCGTGGCATTAGGAAGGTTGAGAACCACTGTTCTGACGTATAATGTCACAGCTTGGTTCCTCTGGCAAAGCTGTAAGTGGATGCAATTAAAAAAAGGAGAAGCCAGATCAAAGTTAACTCTGTCACGGGTCAGAATTCCTCCTCATTCAGCAGCTCCCAACCTTTTGGGCACCAGGGAACGGTTCTGTGGAGAGCGGGTTTTTTTTTTTTTTTTGGTGGACCAGAAGGGGTGTGGTTTCATATGTTGCATCCGTCCATCCTGTGGATGGGGCTTTGCTTCTTTGCACAGACCAGTTCCTGGCATGCCACAGACCGGGGTTGGGGACCCCTGTCCTAATGGGTCCTGTGGAAAACTGTACATGTTTTTTTTAATGGTATAATGAAATTAAATTTTTTATAGTGGTATAATGAAATTAAATTTCTGCTGTTTGTGGGCTTGAATCCAGATGAGATGGGGATAGCAGACTTCCTAGCGTCTGCGTTAGTACCTTCAGTCCTCTAGAAATGTTACACCAAGGATGGGGAATCTGGAGAACAGGACAGGTCCGTGATGGCGAACCTATAGCACACGTGCTGGAAGAGGCACATAGAGCCTTTTCTGCCGGCACGCGAGAGGTCGTCCAGAAGAGCCCCACTGTGTATGCGCGCCCGCTGCCTGCCCTCCAGCTGATTGTCGGGTATCTGGCATGCATGCGCGGGTGGCGAGGTGTGTGCAGGAGATGCATGCACATATGCAGGGGGTGCGGGGGGTCACGCGAGCATGCGCAGAGACGCATGGCACAGCACATGCGGGGGGGTTGTGCATGCATACACAGGGCGTTGAGGGCGCGTGCATTGCCTTCTGGGGGCTGGCATGTGAGCGCGAGCACAATTTTCAGCACGGGAGCCAAAAAAGGTTAGCCATCACTGGGATAGGTCATGGTATACAGACAAGGAAAATTCCTAAACACTAGAAGGATACAAGCATCTTAGATGTTTTTGAATAAAACTCTTTTCTCTTAAGTTTGGTTGCTTGGTTGTTTATTTTATGGTTTTTATAGCTTGCCCCGCTCAAAAGACTTAAAATTATAACTGGAACAAAAGAATAAGCAAAACCTCAGCAGTCATAAATAAAATCAACCCTCTCCCAGTATGAATGCCAGCAAAATTTTTGGTAGAGTTCGATAGAAAGCCTGATTAAATAAAATTATATTGTAAAGATTTTCTCAAAACCATGAGGAATGGAGCTTTACAGGCTAGTGAGCAATAGCCTGATATGACTAATATATGAACAGAGTAAGTTAACCATCCAGAAATAATATGCTTATCATAGCCTCGCTAAGTACATGTCAGAAGAGTGTGTACGTATATTGGAGGAGCGGGTTGCACCTTCTGAGTTAATGATAACTCTCTGTGACTTCCTGGCCTGGTCCCTGCAGTCTTGTTGGTAAAATTTCAGAAGTGGTTTGCCATTGTCTGCTTTCTAGGGCTGAGAGATAGGTGGACTGGCCCAAGATTACCTTGTACCTAAGGCAGAACCAGAATTCACAGTTTCCCAGTTTCTAGCCTAGTACCTTATATCAGTGGCCCCCAACCTTTTTTGTGCCACGACCCAGTACCGGCATCACAAAATGATCCGCGGCCCGGTACCAGCATCAGCACACATGGCAAGGCGAGCCGAGCGACCGGCCGGCCAGCCGTCCCCCGCTTCTCCTCGCTTCTCCCCGCCACCTTCAACTCCTCCTTTGTACCTTTGTCAATGGGCTTCGGGACGGCTTCAGGACGGTCGCTCAGCTCGCCTTGCCTTGGGTGCTGAAAGAATCCTCGCGCCTTAGTTTTGTTCGAAGCCACCACCCCCTTTGATGAAACTAAGGCACGAGGATTCCTTCAGGACCCAAACGCCGCTTTCCAACCGGAAAAGCTCACTGGAAGCACTTTCTCATCAAAACAAGATGGCGGCGCCCAGCAAACCGGTGGCCCGGTAGAAAATGTTCCACGGACCGGTACCGGTCTGGGGCCCGGTGGTTGGGGACCCCTGCTTTAAATCACTCCACCAAATTAGCTTTTGTTAGAAAGTTTAAGCCCATTTAAAACCAGTATCAGTCCATACCCTCTTAAAGAGATGTCATGCCTTATTTCTTAAGCCTTTGATAATTCTTAATTTTTCTTTGCTTTCAAAAGGTGGTTGTGGAACTGGGCAGGTCTAAACAGTTGACCTCAAAAAACTCAGTTTCCCAAAAGAATGCTTTCAGAGAAGATGAGTTCCAGAAATACCCTCCTCTGTTTTTCAAAAGGCCAAAACTTGACCACAGTGCAGGGAAAAAGTTGCACAGAGGCACATATCCTGTCTTGCTCTGGTGGTCTCCACTCACAGGAGAATCTGGACGGCAGGCTCAGTGTGGTGAGGATGTTTGCTTCTTTACCATCAACAGGACTTACCAACACAATCCTTTGACTAAAGCCTTTCTGTTTTACGGTAAGGGACTGGCTAAAAGTTTGGAAAGGTGATTGAGTAATCTCTTCCTCCCCCTTTTCTTGTGTAGCTTAACATATTAATTTGGATATGCAGAAAAAAAGTGGACCCAACTGGGAATATGGTGGTTTATATTACAGGTATCCCTTGACATGATTATAATTAGGACAGGATTTCTGGTCATAAGTCATTGTGGTGATAAGAGGAAGGACCAATGTGGGTAAATCTGAGTTTATGACATTTTTTGCATGTGGTTCTAAGTGCAAAACCATTCTTCTGAGTGGGTATTTTTTGCCAGAAATTAATTTAAAAATGCCAGAAACTGGCATGAAACATAAATCATGGGACACTACAACCAGTCATAAATGCAAGCCAGCTGCCAAATGCCCGAAATAGGTGTTCTTGGGAGGGTGGATGACATTTTACAATGGCCAGAAGTGCTTTATGGTTTGTACATTACCAGTTCCTGGCCCATCTTAATTTCAAGTGGTCATTAAGCAACTAATTGAAAATCAAGGACTACTCATACAAATACTTCCTCTCTGAATAATCATCATTTCATGACCGCTAAACAAGCTAAGTTCTGACTGGGTTATTTCCAGATTTCCTCCTCTTAGTTTTTTCTTTTTCCAAAAAAGTGGATTTTTGTTCTACTTCAAATCTGACATTCTGATGCAATGTCCGATTTTCTAAAACAAGGGTACCTTGGTACTCAGCTGCTTTGAAACTCATCAAATTTGCCCCTGTACTCATTGTTTGGTACTCGACTCACAAGCTAGAACTTGTCAATGTTGGCTGCCTTGTGATTCACTACATTATTCCTTATAGGAAAATTTGTTTGGTACTTGTCATTTTTGAAACTAATTGCACTTCCCGGAGCCAATTAACAAAGAGTACCAAGGTACCACTGTATTAGTATGAATCTTACAATTGGAGAATATCTGCATTATTGGCGATGACCACATTGCTTTGAAATAATGACTGTTTATATTATTGAAGACACTGCAACCAAGTCCATTGAATGTAATTAAAAGGAATATGTTATATTTTTCAACCTCTAGGTACGGATTTCAGCATACACAGCTTACCTCTGCCCCGTGCAGGCTACCATGACTGGGCTCTTTTTCACGAGGAGTCCCCCAAAAACAACTACAAGCTTTTCCAGCCTCCTGCCATCACTTTGTTCAACCACACAGCCACTTTCAGCCGCCACTCACACCTTCCGCTTACCACCCAGTACCTTGAAAGTATTGAGGCCTTGAGGTCCCTGAGGTACACAGTTTCTCTGCAAAAAAAGAACAGCTTGAGGAAGAGACTTGCGCCACTGGTCTATGTACAATCTGATTGTGACCCTCCCTCTGACAGAGACAGCTACGTAAAGGAGCTGATGGCACACATCGAAATTGATTCCTACGGGGCTTGTTTGCATAATAGAGACCTTCCAGACCATCTCCGAAATCCATCCTCCATGGACAGCGATAGTTTTTACAACATACTCGCTCAGTATAAATTCGTCCTGGCTTTTGAGAATTCCGTCTGTGGCGATTATATCACTGAAAAACTCTGGAGGCCACTAAAGCTGGGAGTCGTGCCTGTTTATTATGGCGCTCCCACTATTCAAGACTGGCTTCCAAGCAACAAGAGTGCCATTCTCGTCACAGATTTTCCACACCCGAAGGACTTGGCTCAGTATATCAAGGGTTTGGATGCGGATGACAAGGAATATGCGGCCTACCTTGAATGGAAGTTGAAAGGTGACATTTCCAACAGGCAACTGCTTGCTGTCATCAAAGAACGCACATGGGGAGTGCAGGATATCATGAAAGACAACTACATAGATGCCTTTGAGTGCATGGTGTGCACCAGGGTATGGGAAAATATCAAGAGACAAGCAAAGGTAAGTATAAATACGTCTCTCCATAGGGACCTATTGTCATTAAGTCAACTGCTGTCTTTTGATCCTCAAGCAGAATCGGTGTAGCAGAGGCAAACAAATTCTACAGAATTACAGAGTTCCTACAGAAAGAAGATGTGGCTTTGGGAGAGGTCCATGAGTCGTTCTGTGGTCCATAAATGTAGAAAGTAGTTAGAGCACATTGATTTAAATAACACTATAGCAATAGCACTTAGACTTACTGTATATACCGTTTCACAATGCTTTTACAGCCCTCTTTAAGCGATTTACAGAGTCAGCATATTGCCCCCAACAATTTGGATCCTCATTGGATTCTCGGAAGGATGGAAGGCTGAGTCAACCTTGAGCCTGGTGAGATTTGATCTGCCAAATTGCAGGTAGCCAGCAGTCAGCAGGAGTAGCCTGCAGTACTGCAATCTAACCACTGTGCCACCGCAACTTCATCTTACTTTCAGGTCCATTGTTTTCTCTGTTCTGCCATCTTCTCAGACATACATCTGAAGGATAAAATATCCTTTCTTGTTCATATTTCTAATTTATATATAAGTTACCTTTATACATTCTAGACAATTCCTTTGGTGGCATATGCCAACAATACATCATTTGATAAACATTCTCTCTAAATTGATAACATAACATACATTTTAGTCGCTTCAGCTATGTGTTCTTCCATTGTTCCATTTGTATATTGTAACCAACAATTTTAATCCACTTAATCATGCTTTTTTTTTTACTTGGTCTTCTATTTCAAATTTCAATAAAAGTGTAAATTTTAGCAATATTCATCATTTGTACACAGTTCTGTTTCAAGCTCAGATTTAGATTGTCCAAAGCCAAAAATTCTTTTTCTACTTTAAATCTTTCTAATGATTGTATATTAAAAAAACTACTGACAGATATATCCAACTGCCATCAGATCTTCTCTTGATTTTATTTTATATTCTCCTTGATAAAATTCTAATAGCTCACAATAAGTTTGCCATTTGTGTTTACTTAGCATTTTTCGTCTATAAAATGCTTCTTGTACTGAAAGCCACAGCAGTGCTTTTGGGCACAGCCGCAGTTTATATCTATTCCATATTCTCAATAATATGATTTTTAAAATCTATTTTAACCTTAGTTTTATCACATCATACACATCCATGCCATCTGAATTTCTAGTCATGTTCTTCTAACTCCAAAAATCTTCTATTTCTCAGTAACACCCACTCTTTCATCCAAATTAAACAAGCTGCAAAATATACTTTCAAATCAGGTAAAAACCCACTTCTCCTCTTTCTTATAACACCTTATATTTAACTCATATATTTTTCCCTGCCACATAAATTAATTATATATATGCTTGCACTGGCACAAAGCCGAAAGCACCAGCCTGAGAATGGCGAGTGGGACCTCGCCGAAACGTCGCCAAGATACTCTTAATCTTACATGGGAAAAGACCCAAACATACCTAGACCTACATATATATATGTGTGTGTGTGTGTGTGTGTGTGTGTGTTTGTGTGTGTGTGTTTTCTAAAGTTTTCGCAGGTACTTACATGTATGGTATTCATCTTTGTTCGGGTATTTTCCCACGTCATTATAGTTGTGCTTTTAAAGTTGTAACAACGTTTCGGCAGAATCTCATCTGCCATCATCAGGCTTCCAGACGAACACAATACAGAAGCCTGATGATAGCAGATGAGATTCTGCTGAAATATTGCTACAACTTTAAAAGCACAACTATAATGACGTGGGAAAATACCCGAACAAAGATGAATACCATACATGTAAGTACCCGCGAAAACTTAAGAAAACATATACATACATACATACATACATATATACATATTTCTACCATTATTTAAGTGGTGCATCAGTTGTCAAAATATGTATTGCCTGAAACAAAAATAACATTCTAGCCAAGAAATTAATCTTAATCACATAAATTCTTTCCAGTAATAACAGTTGTATTTTCTCCCATATTAACATATCTTTTTAAAACTTCATTCCCGTGTCTTAATATAATTACTTTGAAATAACATACAATTCATATTTGTTATAGTAACATCCAAGTATTTTACCTTCTCGATCTTAAAATCCATTTTATTCCTCAATTCTGTTTGATCCTGCATTTTCATATTTTTATTAATATCTTCATCTTCTGTTTATTAATCTTAAAGCCTGCTATTGCATCAAATTCTTTTAATGTACTCATTAATATTTCAATTCCTTTTAAAGGATCTTTCAAAACCAGCACCAAGTCATTTTCTTCCATAATCTTCTTGTCTTGTTTTATATCTCTAGTATTTCAAGGACAAAAATATACAGAAGAGGGGATATTTGGGCAGTCCTGTCTTGTTCCTTTTTGTATTTCACATGGATTTGCTAGATTTCCATTATCAATAATTTGCGCTTTCAGTGAAGTATAGATAGATTTTACCCATTTTGTTCTTTTCTACATTCAGTGAAATGTAACCTCTGAAGATATGATGTCCCCTGTTTAAACCAAGCCCTTAGATAATTAGCAGGTCCAATTACACAAGCTGGGTCCCCTAAGGGTAAAGTTTCCCTGTCCAGTCATGGCCAATTCTGGGACGCGATATTCATCTCTGTTTCTTGGCCAAAGGAGCCACCATTATCTGAAGACGTTATCCGTGGTCATGTGGCCAACATGGCTATATGCCAAAGGTGCATAGAAAGCTGTTACCTTCCCATTGAAGTGGTCCTTATTAACCTACTTGTATTTGCATGCTTTCAAACTGCTAGGTGGGCAGGAACTGGGCAGGGGTCAGCTGTAAAAATTTTAGCAACTGTTTCTCTGCCTGGTTGCTGGGTGGACGTGGCCATGGTGGGTATGTAGCCTCCTGCACTACGGGGGGGGGGGGGTTGCCCTCCCCGGGCTCCGGAGGCTTTCCTTGAGTCTCCAGGAGAGCAAAAATGGCCTCCCCTGAAATGGGTCCGTTAACCACTACATCAAGCTGGTTTTCTTGTCTTAGTTATTCATTATTTCTCGTCTTGGTTATTCTAATGTCAGGTATTATCAGTTAGTTCATTTGTCCATTAGACACCGAAGCTAAATTCTATATTATGATAGGTCTAGAACATGGGTCTCCAACCTTGGCAACTTTAAGACTTGTGGACTTCAATTCCCAAAGATCCTCAGTCAACAAAGCTGGCTGAGGAACTCTGGGAGTTGAAGTCTACAAGTTGCCAAGGTTGGAGACTCCTGGTCTAGAAGGCCAAGTATTTGAAGTGGGAGAACATCAACCTTCACCTCTCAAACCCTTACCACAAATAAACACAGATTGTGTTTTTAATTTTTTTTTATCAGGGAATGCCACCAAGAAGATGGAAGGCAGAAGCAAACCATCTGAGCTGCCCAAGTCCTGAAGGATTTGTCTTTTCTCCTCTCAGTGTGCAGAGATCTGTTCTTCAGGACGTGTGGAAATCAAGCTTTGAACAATCTAAGAGAGAAGCTCGTGCACTGCAGCATCTGGTAGAAAGGAACAGGAATTTCACAGCCCTGGAATTTTGGACTCTGGTTTTTAGAGACTAGTTTAAAAAACAAGGAGTATTCACCTCAAGATTGGGGGGGGGGGGGGGAACTGCCACCAGAAAAAGCTAGTAACAAAATCCAGTGTTCAGAATAAAGTAGGAAGCACTTTTAAACCCCTGAATGTATGAAAATGTGTATTTAGTAACTATTTATCATGACCTATTTGGTCATCTTGTAACATATATTTTTACTGCTAATATTGAGACATGTTTTTAACGTGTGTAGATTAACACAAGAATGTAATAAAATGCATTCCTTTCCCTCTTTGTGCGCCTGTGGTTGTTTCTGTTAGATTTTACATTCAAGCTCATTTGCAAAAGATGTCAGACCAAATCTAGTGCTCTGACTTGGAACCAACATGCTTTCTTTGTTTCTTGCATGTTTACAAGAAGTTGAAGTAATGAACTGGGCTGTTCAAAAGAATGGGCAGTGATGTGTATATATATATATATATTTTGTGTGTGTGTATGTGATATCCCCAAGGAAATACTTTACATGAAATAAATGCTTACCAGAAACCTGTGGAAGGAAGGACTACAGCTAGTCCTTGACTTATGACCATTTAGTGATTGTCCAAAGGTACAATAGCATTGAAAAAAGTAACTTATGACCACTTTTCACAGTTACGATCATTGCAGCATCTCCATGGTCACATGATCAAAATTCAGATGCTTGGCAACTGACTCATATGTATGATGATTGCAGTGTCCAAGGGGTCATGGGATCACCTTTTGCAACCTTTTGACAAGCAAAGTCAATGGGGAAGCCGCATTCACTTAACAACCGTGTGACTAACTTAATAACTACAGTGATTCACTAAAGAAATGTGGCAAGAAAGCAGTGGTGGTATTCTACCAGTTCAGCCCAGTTCGGCCGAATCAGTAGCTCCAAGAACCATCTGTGAGTGAATCGGTTTGCTCCGACAATCAGCTTCTGGGCCCTCCCACCCACCCTGGCTCTATACTGACCTTTATTTCCTGCTTTTAAAGCTCAGCTGCTTGGTGCGGCACGGTGGATTGCCATGTGTCAGCTGTTGAAGACACGGGGGAGAGTGCAGGATTGCAGAAGGTCAGTATCAAACCCTTTGCGCGCATGGCAAATGCATGTTTGGCGTGCACCCACAGAGCCACGCCCACAGAACCAGCGGTAAAAAAAGTTGAATCCCACCACTGCAAGAAAGGTTGTAAAATGGGACAAAACTCGGATAACAGCAATTGTTTTACAACTGTTTCACTTAGCAACAGAAATGTTGGGCTCAGTTGTGCTCGTAATTCGAGGACTGCCTATACAGAGCCCTGGCAAGAACAAAAGAAAGGTACATAGCAAAGAAATCTTAGAATATCTCACTCAAGTGTCATAAGATGGAACTTTGTTTTTCCTTACTCCCCATTTCTATCATTCTTCAATCTCCACGGCTTTTATGGTGTCGGGAGATTACAATATGTGTGAAATCTAATATATTTGCAGGGCATCAGATCATGTATAGCCTCAGTAAAGGAACAAAATGCCTGAACTATCCATAGCTTAGGCTGCTGGACCTATCACCACTATCAGACATGCAGATACTGCAGTCTCTGCGGCAGAATCTAACACACCCAAATACACACACACACACACACGGAAAACTAACTAACTCAATTCTGAAAGGTTTTTTTTATTTTAAAAAATCTCCTCGCTAGAAATAAAGCTGCTAATGATACATACTATAGGTCAGTGGTGGCTTTCCTTTTGGGGCTCCTGTGCCAAAAATTGTGCTCGCACTTGTGTGCCAGCACCCAGAAGGCAATACACGCACCCCCTGCCCCCTGCGTATGTGCGCGCAATCCCCCCACGCTCCTGTACTGCGCCTCAGAGCTGATTTTTCAGCTGGTTTGACGCCTTTTTCGCCCCCCCCAGAGGCTTGAGGATAGCTTCTGCAGCCTTTGCAGGCCAAATAATAGGTGGAAGTGACAAAATGGGCCTATTATTTGGCTTGCAAAGGCTGCAGAAGAATCAGCTGTGAGGCGCACGCATGCGCAGTGAGGTAAGTTTGCCTGCAGCTCACGTGCCGGCATAAATGGCTCTGTGTGCCACCTGTGGCATGTGTGCCATAGATTCGCCATCAGGGCTGTAGGTAGATGTAAGTTGTTAAAGTGCTGGCACCATTATACAGAGAATGGGGAATACTTGGGAGCAAATGCTTTGACAGTATCAAAAGCTTCCATACCCTAAAGCAGTGATGGCAAACCTTTTTGTTGTGCTGTGTCAAAAGCGCACGCGTGCCGGCATCCACAATGCAATGTGCCCCCACCCCCCTGTGCATTTGTCGCAACATGCCCGCCCCATCCCGTTACCTACACTGTGCATGTGCGTGCCTCCCAGCTGATTTTCAGCTCATTTGAGGCCGTTTTTGCCCTCCTGGAGGCTTGAGGGAAGCCTCTGCAACCTCGGGAGGCCGAAAAACAGGCCTTCCATAAATACCGGAAGTGCCCACATTCAGCCTCTGGCGGGCCTCCGGAGCTTGGGGGAGGCCGTTTTCGTCCTCCCGGAGGCTCAATGGGAGCTTCAGGAGGCTGAAAACGGGCCCGTTTCGGCACTTCTGGTATTTCCGGAAGGCCCGTTTTTCGGCCTCCTGAGGATGCAGAGGTTTCCCTCAAACCTCCGGGAGGGCGAAAACGGCCTCAAATGGGCCGAAAATCATCTGGGAGGTGTGCGCATGCACAGTGCAGGTAAGTTTGGCTGGGGCTCACATACCCACACAAATGGCTCTGCATGCCACCCATGGCATGGATGCCATAAGTTCACCATTACGGCTCTAAAGTGTCTTTCTGTGTATTGCATTCCTGCTGACCGTGCATTTTGTCCACGAACAAGCAGCTCCTCACTCGCACAGAAAGGCAGAGTACCTGCTACTGGTCACTCTCATTGGAAAGCCCCCAGAGAAGGAATAGGGGTGGGGGCATTTCTGCTTCATCTCTCTACATTGCCAACTTTTTCAGCATCAGCAGTTTTAGTTAAAACTTGGCAGCTTGAGATTCCCTGACATAGAAAATGGATGTAAAATGCATTAGCATTTGGCACTCATGTGCTGACATAAAAATAAATATCCTGGTTTGCCCATTACCCACTTTCAAAACCAGGAACATTAGAAGCTATGTCACAAAAAGAAGTGCCATAGTCCAAAACATTAGGAATACCTCCCCATTACTTTCTCCAAGCATCAGCACCTTTACAATGCTACTGTATTTACAAGGTATGGCAATGCCATCTTACTTAATTCACCAAGATCTGTTCCTAGTCAAGTCAATGCAGGATTTCAGGAGTCTCCTTGCCAATACAAGACATTCAGTAATTGCTTGTTCATTTTAAAGAGAGCCTACTGTCTTACCACAGCAGCTTCCATCTTTGGCAACAAAGCAAGGATGAAGGTGACATTGTTCATTTCTATCCTTAAAGTGACCTGCTGGATTTCTTAGTTCTAAAATACTTTTTCTCTTTAACGTCTTTGGTTAATAAGATGGATTTGTCCCTTAGCCATGGTGGCACAGTGGTATTGCAGACTAATTCTGTCGATTGCCAGAAGTTCGATCCTGACCAGCTCAACATTGACTTAGCCTTCCATCCTTTCGAGGTGGATAAAATGAGGATATAGATTGTCTGGGGCAACAGGCTGACTCTGTAAAATGCTTAGAGAGGGATATAAAGCACTATGAAATGGTATGTGCGATTGCTGTTAGCCCTGAAAACAGGACTTGATTTCTGCGATGGAGATTCTGCTACGATCTCCAAAATTGGCCACTGTTGGGTGCTATATAGCAACACACCTGAAATTATATACAAGAAATTCCATCCTAAATGCCACAAGAGTTTCTCTAAGTATGCTTGGTTTGTTTAAAGTTAAATTCTGACTCAGTTACAATAATAATAGGTACCCCATTGGAAAATCTGAAATAACCATAAGATATAAAACACAATGGAGAAATAGATCTTATAGTCACTAATAATCACCACTGACTTGATGGTATATAATCAAAGTTAAATTTCACCAGTATTTAAGCTTATTGGCCTATCAGCCCATCTTTAAACAGATTTACACACACACACACACACACACACAGCTGCCTCCTAATAAGTACACGGTGTCATTTGGAAATCTATTTAGAAATAAGGTCCATTCCAGATTGCACAGAAAGGGCTTTAACGGATTGGATTTTCACTATACTCCTATACATATCAACTCAAAAGGACGTCCCCCTGAGTTTAATGAAGTGTATTCCCAGCAGCTGAGTCAAAAATTGTACACTTACATGCACTTCTTCCTGTTAGGAAATTCATTACTGAAATGAGTATACTCAAGTGTATCTAATACTGAGTAAAATCGAGCTATTGCTTCATTTTTTAAAATTAAAGACACATATAGCTTTCAATTGTACGAAGCTTAAATGCATGCAAGTAGCTTCCAATAGTTTCTAAAAACACACTTGAAGGTATCTTCAGTTTGCCATAAACCAGCCTTCTTCAATTTGTTGCCCTCCCTCTTTTTAACAAATGTCATTATTATTTGTATATATTAAAATACAAGATAAAGAAGAAGCAAAAGAAGAAAAAATCTGCACGCCCTAAAAGGAAAGTAAAATGAAATACCTCACAACGTATCTGTATAATGCAATTCCATTGTAAAGTGAAGCACCTTTTTAGCAACAAATTGAATTATGACTGACAATGTCTTTGAATCATATTGATCAGTTTTTCCATTAAGAGCTAGTTGAAAGGCTAAATGTGAACACATGTCTTAAGTCCAAGATTTTACAGTAGGTGCTGTAATTTTTCCCATCCATGCATTACTTTTCCTTGTACCTAAAGTCTGATGTAGCCAAAATCCTAACAGACTGGCAAATACAAATGTTTCAGGATATTACATTTATATCTTTAAAATAATAAAGGAGTCCCTGTGGATTTTACTCCACTAGTCATTGCCAACTATAGGGGCTGGTGCTCATCTCTATTCAAGGCCATTGAGTCAGCACTATCCGAAGACACTTTTGCAGCCATAAGACCAGCATGAGATCACGGAGTGCTGTTATCTTCCCACAGCAGTGGTACCAGTGGTGGTATTCGACCAGTTCGGCCCGGTTCTGGTGAGCCGGTAGCAGCGATGAGCAGCAGAGACCGAACCGCTTCTCACTGCTGCTCTGCTCTTGGGCCTACCCACCTGCCCGGGCTCCCATACTCACCTTTATCCGCTGAATTTGAAGCGCAGTTGC